AGAACCTAAGACGTTGAACAAAAACACACCCTAGTATTACTTCTTGGACTAGATCAGTTTTTCAGCTTCTGCATAGCCTAGTACAATATTCAACAGATATTAGGATTTAATTAATTTGGCAGGCATTTCTGACAGGATCTGCCTGACTCTGATATTTGTTCTACCAGGATTGCTGATGACAGTCTGCATTACTCCCAGTTCACACTGACCCAGTGATTATAACAGTTTGTTGACATTAGGTAGAAAAATACCCAGTTTTCATAAAAACTAATCTGAGCTCAGGCAGCCTAGCTTTTAACCACTAAACTATACTTACTCCTAAGACATTGAATATTCTGCTCATTCTGCTTGCAATTCTTTTACCCACCTCCCTGCACCCCACCCCCAGGTGATTTCAATTTATTCTGGACTAAGATTAGAACCCCTCTCTCTGGAAAGCCTCCTCTGATTCTTCCCCAAGTTTGGGCTTGACTATTCCCATGCACAATTTGAACTTTATATTATCCAGAGGAAAAAACCCTAGACCTTTAGGAGTAGCTAGAACCCCAACATGAAATCACTAATCAAGACAGACTGATTTCACGAATGTCCCTAAAACGCTATGTGCTTAACTACAAGTTTTTACAGGCAATTCCTCCTGTCTAAACTATTTTGGCCTCCTTTTAACCTATTAAAATACTATGTAAAGTCTAATTTTAAAACTACCTTCTGATACATTCATCATACTCAAAATATATCCAAAATTTTGATTATTTCTCTCACCTCCACTGTTAACTCTATGTTGTTAGCACCTTCTCTTTCTTGGGCATTACAGCAATACCTCCTAATTGGAATCCCTGCTTTGGCTCTAGCCCCTACCTTCAAGTCAATTCTTAACACACCATTCAGAGTGACCCTGTTAAAACTGAAAGTTAGATCATGTCACTTAAAACCCTCCAGTGTCTTTTCATACTACTTTTAACCTCATTTTTTTAGTAAATATGTTTTCGAAATTTACTCTGGTGAGCACACTAACAAAGGGAAAAATAAAACCAACAGTTAAAAAGGGAAACTGCCTCCTACTATCAAAACTCATTGACACCACCTAGTTGTCTTGTCTACTAAATGGCCTTGTGACCTCCATTCTTGCTCATTCTCTTCCCATCATTCTACAAGATATCCAATCTCCATACTGTTGTTAAAGTCATCTTTTCAAAATGATAGTGTTGCTCTTTCATTTAAGATTCTTTAATATTTCTCCATGACCAACAGAAATTTTGTAGCTTGGCACAGGTAGTCCTTCATGATCTGCCATCCTCTAACCGCTCCTTTCACTTTTATACTTTATATTCCAACAATATCAAGCTACTTGTAGCTGGCTGTATACATCATGTAATTTCATCATTTCCATTGCTTTGCACAAGTTATATTTTCTGCCTATCTTTTAACCCAACAATTGAATATAGAAATTATAAAAATTACCTAAGAGAAAACTTCATATATAATGGCATTTATGGCAGCTCAATTCATGATATAAAAATGAAAAGTCTAAATTCCTGACAATACAGAGATAATTATGTATTATAGTACTCAATGGAATATAATGTAACCATTAACATTTTAAATAAATTGTATGTAAAGAAGTGATTTTTATTTTTTATGAAAATAAGACACCAATAAAAATATAAAAAATATGGAAAAGTATGAAGAACATAAAGATAACCACAATCCATCCTATCAAAGAGACCCACTAATAACATTTTTGTATATATCCAATATTTTCCCCATGGAAGTATCCGTATAAATATATAAATAGAATCTTACCTCATATACAGTCTACATCTTGTACTTTTCACTTAACACCATAAGTATATTCTTATCATTACAACACTCTTGGAAAATATAAGTTTTAATGACTGCATACATTACATCACATAGATGCATCATAATTTATTTGACTTTTCCCCTATTTTGGGGGAGGACAGCACAAAAAATACTGTAATAAACATCTTGAACATTTATCTTTGGATGTTTCTAATGTAGTTCAGAATGCTTGGCCCAAACCCACCACTTTCTGGGGAAACCTATTTGAACATTAGCCTTTAATAATCATGTTATATGCCTTACCACCCCATCCCGGGGCATGTCTGAAGGGACCAGAGTGAACATCTGACACAAAGCTAGCCAATCCAAAGGCTTACCAGTAGCCTATGGTTTAGCCTGGCCTCAGAGGCTTGTCCAGAGGTAGTAATTCTAAGTTGAGCCAATCATCTTCCCCCACTCAGAAATCTGAACAGAGACCCAGAAGGAAATTACAAGTTAGTGGTGGGCAATAGAATTGAAAAAACATATATTCAGGGATGTGGTGGCAATTACAAACATGCATCGAGTGAGTCAACAGGTCACTCTGTAGACAGAAGAGAGGATACCCAAAGAGAAACAGAAATCAATTCTTGAAAAGAGTCGCCTCATTGTCTGATGGCTTTCTAGAGCAAATTTCCATATTGAAGCTTCTATCCTTGGATTTTTGTGAGATTTTAAAACATAATGTTACATAACTCTATTTTTTACATGAAATATGAAATAACTTAAACAGATCTCTCTTCTTTGCAAATAGAAGTTTCCTAATAGTGTGTAACTCTATTTCCATAGGATATATACCTAGATATGAAATCACTGTAGTAAAGAGTATCAACAATTTTAAGGCTTATGATTGGCCAAATAGCTTCTCCAAAAAGTCTATCAATCTACCCTCAATGTAAGTAGTATATAAGTATCCATCACTCTGTACTCTCAATGAAAATAGCTATTATAATTGTTAATAAAAGTGGTATTTCATTGCTTTAATCTGTTGATGTCCTTTGCCAATTTTTTTACTAGGTGTCCATCTATTAATTTATAAAAGTTCATAACTGTCATAATCATGGCAAATATTTTTCCTATCTGACTTCCAAATGTTCTTAACCTACAGTTTAAAAAAATTTCTGTGGTCAAATTCCCAGGTTTTTTTTTTTTGAGTTCTCTTTCATCTAACTCTCAAAAAATGCATGTGTGTATGTGTGTTTTCAACCATACAACAACCCACTTTGGTAAATTTTAAACATTTTATGTTTAAAGTAGTAGGACCTCCTTTTTAAAAAAAAGGAAATCTTGTGCTAATCTTGAATATGAATCAGATAAAAATGGGGTTAAATTTGTGGTTCTTCATGAAACCATATGGAGGTTCATGGAACACAGCTTGAAAACTTGTGCTTTAATCAGTATATGTATGATGTAGGTCATGGGACGAAAGCCTAATTTTATTTTTCACCAAAGTTAAATGATTTTCTCAGCACCATTTACTGAATAATCTTCTCCTATTCATAGCCCTTTATCATATGTAAAGTATATAAGCATATGTACTATGTTATAATACATATGTGATCCATACACTGGTCTATTTCTAAGCCATTCAGCGACAGCATTCTCAACATTTTTTCAAATGTACAATCAAGTTCTCCATTATTTTAACTTCAATATATCATTAATTATATGTTAAGGCAATCTCATTAATCTTTCGTGTAATTATCTTTCCTCTTCTCCAATGTCTACTTTTCTTAAGAGACTTGAGAATCTTTTTCATTTCAAATCTCATTGGGATTTTGATAAGATTTGAACTACTGAATCTATAAATTAACTTAGGAACATCCCTCTAAAAAAGTTGACTTCTCTATTCAAGTGCTTTTTTATTTTCCTCAATTAAATGTTTTGTTTTTCATAATTTTCATTCTACAGTTTTGTTCCTTTTTAAGAAATTTTAGTGTTATTGCAAACTATATTTTTTCCTCCCATTATATTTTCTAGTTATTACAAGAGTTTAGGAAACTATTGGTTTTTGTATTTTTACTCATCTTAATGGGTTTAACTAGTTCATTTTTTAATTAAGTTTTAAAAACATATTGTAGGCACTATTAAACCTTCACCTATTCTTTATGTCAATAAATCATTATTGATCAGTATCATTTTGCTTTAATCTTTTCATTTGAATAGCATGTAAGTAAAATTTTAACCCCATCAAGGGTTTTCAAAACTTTTTAATGGGAGAGTTAACCTATTTTGATAAATTTGGTTTTCTCTCATCTTGATCCATGTTCTCTAATTTTTTAGGTCATCTTGTTTTGTTTTGTTTCTGTCTTTTGCAACAGGGACTGAATATTCTTTGCTTTTATCTTACTCCGTCTTGAAAGGTATATGTGCTTTTTTTAGTTTTATTAGTTGCAATTTCTAACTTTGAAAAAAATCTTAAAACCTTTATTTCTTGAATTGTTAAAGTCAAGAAGAAAATGTAATAAGTCCCTGCTATTTAAGATCAGAAATGTAGCACAGTTTCCTTTGCTGTCCTTCCCCCACAGGGTTGCCAGATTTAGCAAATAAAAACACAGGATGCCTAGTTAAATTTGAATTTCATATAAATAAATAATTTCTTAGTATAAGTCCCCTGCAATATTTAGGCCACACTTATACTAAAAAATTATTGTGTATCTCAAATTGAAACTTAACTGGGTGTCCTGCATTTTATGACAACCCTACTCTCCCACCCAGACTTTTATATATAATCTGCTTTTATATTCAGCATTTGTATATGAAATATTTTCTTGCACAACTATTTAAAATTTTTGAAGTTTGGTAAGCAAATTAACAATTATCCAGACTTAACCGCAAGTTTAACTGATTTTAGTATTCATCACCAGTCCTTTTATACTGACTTCCACATTCTTGAGCTCTCTTTAAGAAAGGCACGTGTATGATAAGTTTTCTGTTTTCTTGCTTATCTAATTTGTTACCTACACATATAAAAGACAATTTAGTTGATAAAAAGAAAAAACTGTAGGTGGTAACAGATTTTTTAATCTCACACAATCCTTTAAGTGTTTTTCCATTGTCTTTTGACATTTACTGAGGTCTTTATCCATCCTCCCTTTTTGGTTTTGTAGATGACCAGAATTTTTCTTTCTGCATCCTTTCAATTGTTCTTTTTTTCATAAGCTGTTTCCAAGCATGGTTTTTTATACTGGTTTTGCCTAAAATCTAGTGGGCATATACTTTTAGCTCAGGAAAAATTTAATTTCTTTGATCACTGAGTCCATTCCAATTGTTCATCTTCCTTAGAAACACCTTTAGTTCTTACAATGGCTATCCATTCTCTGCACTTCATATCTGTCTTTTCTCTCATTGTTCGCATCTCATTATCCTTTTCTTATACATTTAACATCATCTCAAGTCTATTCATTGCAGTATTTGATATTCTACAGTGCCAATTCTGCTTCTTAGTGCCTTTTCCTTTGATACAGCATTTTAAATTTGCCTGTAGTCCTTTTTCATTATATCTATTTTTCTTTTTATCTTAGAGGCTCTTCTCTACTTAGGTATTTCTATTCTAGTTTTATTAATTTCAGGTTTTCTGTCATGCTACTGAGGACACCAGTTTTTCTGAAAATTTATTTAGGACACCGAAATAGCTAATTTTCAGGCTACAGGATTCTAAGTCTACACAATGATATTCCTTTCTTTGGTACTGCAATTCCCTCTTAATTCCCTAAACAGCTCCACTTAATTTATTTTCTCTTGGGAAGTGATATCTAAACATGTTCACATATCAATAGTTAGGGCTTATGTATTCTCATTGAGTCTACTCCATTTTTATAATGAGCAAATTCTCTCTTCTTGCATAATTAGCTTGAGAATTCATTTCTGCACAGAGCTCTGAGTTCAATTCTGTTTCTAGCAGATGTTTCTCTATTACCATTCTATTCTGCTGAGATTAAATCAAATTCTACTGCTTGGATCTCTAATTCTGAACTGATCGAGTATCTCCAGTTTTTAGCATTCACTTCTATCAGCTTTTGTCCACATCCTTGACACCTTACTTGGAGAAACTAAATCTTGTATCTCCTGTTACTTGATGTCTGACCCTATGAATAAATGCGGAAAACTGAGGATGAAAATGGGTAAGAATGCATTGTGGTAACCTCAGAGAGCAGCACCCCTGCAACAAAATAATGGTTCCTGAGTTTCCTGGTTGACAGAAATAGCATCTCTAAGATGTCCTAACTCAGATAAAGGGTCATACAGTATTTTCCTATCTTTTGTCATAAGCAATTGAATTTCCCTGGCCCTATAGTTAATTCTTCCACATTTGAGCCATAGGCTACCTACCAGTTTGAGTTTCAAGTGTCATGTGTTTTCATTTTTTTCTGTAGCTTCTGAGGGACTTGACAGGTGAGTCAAGATGCTGTCCCATAGATAGGTAGCCAATTTCAATTCAAACCAAAATGTAAGTGTTTTGAAGTCAGTGAAAATACAAACTTGAACATAGAGTACGAGTTTATGCACATGAAAATGCACAGAAAAAAAGACTAGGATGAAACAGGATGAAGTTTTTTCTCCTTGAATTTTTAAATATATTTTATAATGACTATGTATAATATTTATAGTAGAAAAAGAAAATACGCTTTAATTTTAAACATATAAGAATCCTCCTAAGCATCTCCTCTTGAAGCACATGATTCTTAGTGGGAGTTAGGGGAAACTATAAATGTTACTTGGGATTACTTTGGTTATTTATACAATTTTCTTCCCAGTAGCATTTATTGGGCTTAAGGTTAAGCTTTGATTAAAGCTGTTAACTAAATGAACAGAATTATAAGGTTTCTCTTCTGTGATTATTGTGAATATGTGAATTCTGATCAAATCCCTTATAATACTCATGGCATTTATGAGGCTTCTCTCCTGTGTGGACTCTTTGATGAATTCGAAGAGCTGAGCTATGACTGAAACCCTTACCACACTTAGCACACTGATAAGGCTTCTCCCCTGTGTGAACCCTCTGATGAATGTGAAGATTAGAGCTGTGACTAAAGCCTTTTCCACAATCATCACATTTATAGGGTTTTTCTCCTGTATGGACTCTCTGATGAATGAGAAGATGAGAACGCTGACTGAATCCCTTACCACACTGTTCACATTTATAGGGTTTCTCTCCAGTGTGTACTCGTTGATGAGTGTGAAGCTTTGAACTCTTGCTGAAGCCCTTCCCACATTCATGACAAGTATAGGGTTTCTCCCCTGTGTGGACCCTCTGATGAATGCGAAGATCTGAGCTGTGACTAAAGTCCTTCCCACAGTCATCACATTTATAAGGCTTCTCTCCTGTATGCACTCTCTGATGAATTTGAAGATTTGAGCGCTGGGTGAAGCCCTTACCACAGTCATCACATTTATAGGACTTCTCTCCTGTGTGGACTAACTGATGAATTCTAAGATTTGAGCTCTGACTGAAGCCTTTACCACACTCATCACACTTATATGGTTTCTCTCCTGTGTGGACTCTCTGATGAACATGAAGTACTGAACTCCGACTAAAACTCTTACCACACTGATCGCACTTAAAAGGCTTCTCTCCTATGTGAAGTCTCTGGTGAATGTGAAGTAATGAATTTCTACTGAGGTCCTTATCGCACTCAAATTTATAGAGTTTCTCTTCTGTATGGACTCTTTGATGATTGTGAAGACTAGAGATCTGACTGAAGCTCTTACCACACACATTACATATATAAGGAACCTCCCCTGTGTGGACTCTGTGATAAAAGTGAACACCTACGCTCTGACTAAAGTTACTGTCAACTTCAGCACATCCATACAGCTTCTTACCTATGTGGATTCTCGGATGTCTGTATAGGTCTGATCTCTGAGAGAAGCATGCTGTGCTAATGGAGCACTGATACAACTTTTCTCCAAGTTGATTTCTCTTGTGGAGAACACATTGTGATTTCCAATAATAAATTTCTTTACATTTATTACATCCACAGTATTTCTCTTCCATAGAGTCTTTCAGTAGGTCATTTTGGCACATCTCCCCAATGTACTCTGGAAGGGCTTCCTCATTTGGTACATAAGACTGCTGAACTATGAGCTTCTGTTCTTTTTCCATGGAGAGATTTTTCCTGGATATGCCAAGATGGTATCTGCTTCCTTGAAAACCATGTGAATCACTCACATAGATTTCCCCACTATAGTCTTGAGTATGTTTTGTTTCGAAGGACTGCCAAGGTATAAACTTTGTATATTTTAAGTTCGTGGGACTTTTAGCTCCAAAAGTCACTTCATAGTTCCCATACCCTGGTACTTGTGTGGAGAGTATTAACCATGCTTGATAGTGGGAAAGGTCTTGCTGCTTTAGGTGTTCAGAATCTATCCCTTGAATGGTTTCCACATAGTTTTGATTCTCATATATCTGAGTGCTCGCATTTCTCCAGCCTTGCCAGCAGGAAAGATTTTCATGTTCTAAATATCTGAATCTTTCTTCTTGGGGTTTGTAGCTCTCTTTCCAGTTTCCTAGAAGAATAAGCAGATAATCCAGTGGTGAGATGTAGGCTGTGTTTAAAAATTTCCAGGTATCAGGCTGGCCCCGTGGCTTAGCGGTTAAGTGTGTGCGCTCCGCTGCTGGTGGCCCGGTTCGGATCCCGGGCACGCACTGACACACCGCTTCTCTAGCCATGCTGAGGCCGCATCCCACATACAGCAACTAGAAGGATGTGCAGCTATGACATACAACTATCTACTGTGGCTTTGGGGGAAAAAAAGGAGGAGGACTGGCAATAGATGTTAGCTCAGAGCCAGTCTTGCTCAGCAAAAGAGGAGGATTAGCACGGATGTTAGCTCAGGGCTGATCTTCCTCACAAAAAAAAAAAAAAAAAAATTTCCAACTATCTCAATCATTGCCCTCCAGAATTATAGGAATATATGTGTGGGTGGGAAAGAAGGGTTATGACTTAGCCTGCTCCATATTTGGATCTGACATTCCTTTGTTTGTTTATTTATTCACTCACTTATTCATTTATTCCACAAACATATCTTGAGCATCTACTACTTACCTGGTACTGTTAGAAATAAGAGTAAGGCTGACTGCTTCATGGAAATAGTCTTAAAGACTGAGGTTTAATTAGCTTACTCTCTTTGGGGCATTCGTATAAGAAATAAAATATTGTTTCTATTTTTCTGTTCTAGAATAGTGTGGTAGATTGTGTGGAAAAAATGGCTGCATTAACTCTCTACTTTGTCTACATCTTTGGGTGTTCCCCTTCCACGATGACTTTAGGCTTGGCTATACAAATTGCTTTGGTCACTGAGACAATAGCAAAAATGATACAAGCAGGGGCCGGCCCCATGGCGTAGTGCTTAAGTTTGGCGCACTCCACTTCGGCGGCCTGGGTTCGTGGGTTTGGATCCTGGGCACGGACTTACACCACTCATCAGCCATCCTGCGGTGGTGACCCACATACAAAATAGAGGACGACTAGCACAGATGTTAGCTGAGGGCGAATTTTCCTCAAAAAAAAAGTGATACAAGCAGAAACTTGAAAAGTACTTGTGCATTGGGGCTTGCCCTCTCTCTTGCTGGTTTTGAAAATCCTGTGACCACTACCATGTAAATGAGCTTGTGCTAGCATGCTTGAAGAGGGGCATATGGTCAGCATATCCCCATTATCTCCACTGATACTGACCAACCAACAGACATGTGAGTCAGGCTGTCCAGCCTCATCTTAGACCATCGAGCCCCAGCCAAGTCACTCCATGACAGAAGATCCATCTAAACAATTAGAATCATGAAAAATAATAAAGATTGTTCTATGTCACTACGTTTGGGGTAGTTTGTTATATAGCAAAAGCTACCTTGTACAAATGAAGAAAGAACAAATTTAGGACCACACAAAATTGATTATGTGTGGAGATCTGTGCTTTGAGTGTAATCCAGAAAATAAGTAAGAATAATAATCACAAATACTTATTAATTACATAGCCTAGGTGTCTTGGAAGATGTCTTGTGCTTTATCTTCTATTTGTCATCTGATTTAAGACTCATTTTTGAGACTATTTCTTCCACCTCAATACAACACCCAGATAAAGAACCAAAATACTCAACTAAACTGGTTCCAGAAGAAACTAACTCTATTCCCTAAGAGCTGGGATAACTTTACCTACTGACATGACATTTGTGTAGTTCTCCCACATGACCTCTCTGTAGAGCTTTTTTTGAGAAGAATCCAGGAATCTCCACTCCTCCCAAGTAAAAATAACAGTCACATCTTCAAATGTTACTGCCATCTGGTCCGAGAACAGGCTTTCCAGGAATAAGAAATCTAAGTGAGAAGATGGAGAAAGAAAAAGACATTCAGCAGATAACATATATGGCAAGCCATACAGAAAAAGAAAGAACTTCAATAATGAAGAAAAACAAGAAAGGTAAGATGAGACATAATAATAGTAGTCAAATGGCTAAATAATGTATCCAATTGAACCCCATCACCATAAGAAACATTTATATAGCATTTGTCTGCTAACTACTGGGCTAAGTTCCTCATGTATATTTCAAGTAATCCTCAAAGCAATCCTATATTGTAGATACTATTATTATCCCCATTTTACAAATTTGTAAACAATGGTTGGAAAAGTTTAAGTAAATTCCCAAGATGATGGACCTAGAAGGTAGCACAGCTAGGACCCAGGTCTGCATATTTCCAACCAGAACCATTTGCCAGCTATAACAATATTGCTTAATGTTGCTTATATTATTGCTTCTAAAATTCTAATTTTAGACATCATCTATTTACTTCCTACTATGAGATGAGGAATTAGACCCTACCCCCCTATACCTCCACTCATCATTCTCATAGAATATTATCACTATGTCAATTAAATCAATAAGCAATGCTTATATAATTTTGATTATGATTATATACAGTTTGGGAGGATTACCTGTTTTATTTTTAATAAATTTACTGTCCTCAAATTCTTAATTATTTTGAAAGGCTCTATATAATCTATTTTATCAAGTGTCTCACTCCCCGTCCCCCTTTTATTTTGGAAATGTTCATCTTCCTGCTCCAATCTGGGATGGCTACTCTTTAGTGCTCCATTTTCAAGATCATATGATTCTTCCTCTTTTGTGATTTCTCCATTAATTTCTCCACTGAAAAAGCCAAGGTAAGAAAAAGGCAAGGTTTTCTTCAAGACACACATATGTTTTAAAAGAGAATCTCCAAGCATGGTTACTGGGAAGAATTCTCAGGCATCATTTGAATCACTATGTGCCTGAAATCTTTATTATCCCTCACAAGTGGCTGGGTATAGAATTCTAGAGTGAAAAGAATTTTTCTCAGAATTGCTTCACTGTTTATAAACCTTCAGTGTTACCACTAAGACTGATTTTTTTTTAAGCTCTAATTCTTTTGTAGGCAACTTTTTCTTTCCTCTCTGGAAATATTTTAGGATTCTCTTTTTCGCCTGGCCCTCTGCCTCAAATGGTATGGATGCATCCTCAGCCTCTCTCAAGTTCACAGGGCTCATCAGTTCCTTCCTTGTCTGTATCCCCATCAAGCATTCTAGTATGTAATGTCTTCAGCCCTATGTGGCTCTTACCACTATTCCTCTGTTGCCTTACAAGTTTTTGTTGAAATTTCTCATTTGCTGATGGCTCTTCACTTCATCATTGCCAATTCATAAATTTTTTAGTTTCTACTATCATCATGCAGTTTTAGAAAGGAAAAGAGAAAAATGCATGTATTACAACTGCCTAAAAATATTTCTTTTAGTGGAAAGAACAAATCAGAGTTGGTTATGTGACAAATTCATTTTATTTCTTTGATGACACATTTTCAACTCTAAAGTTCAATTAAAAATGTTCAGTAAATACTAATAATAAAGGAAATAAATACTTTTAAGGAGTTTATAGTAAAATGGAAGGAAACTAGATTATCATCATCATATTATAATCATAGCAGCAGCTAAATATTATAGAGCAGTTATGTGGACAGGGTTATTTTATCTCATTTACTATCACAACAATCCTATCAGGTATTAGTATCAGTACCAAAGGAATGAGGAAACTAACATTTAGCAAGATTAACTAACTTGTAAAAGGTCATGTGGTTACAAAGCAGTGGTCTTTTTTTTTTTTGATGAAGAAGATTAGCCCTGAGCTAATATCTGCTGCCAGTCTTCCTCTACTTTATATGTGGGTTGCCATCACAGCGTGGCTGATGAGTGGTGTAGGTCCACACCAGGATTCGAACCTGTGAACCCTGGGCTGCCAAAGTGGAACACGCCAAACTTAACCACTACGCAACAGGGCCAGTCCCACAAAGTAGTGGTTTTTAAACCCAGGTCTACCAGTAAGTGAAAGTGAAAGAAGTTAAAAACAACTTGGTGAAGGGTTGTAAATCAAGATTTCCACATACAGCCATATTGAGTTAATGTAGAAGGGCAAAAGGAAGATGTACTGAAAAATTCAAGGATTCAAAATATGCCACCCAGGTACTGTTTTCCAAATAAACTACATGAAAATCCATGCCTAAACAAGAAACAATCACAAATAGAATTCAAGAATGAAAAAATTCAGTGCTCTTTATTTTTAAATGTTTATAAAATAAATGTTAAAAATTTTTAAGAGAATAAGTCTACTTTAATACATACAAATGAATATATAAATAAAATAAGAAAATTGGGATGCTCGAAGTCCAGACTACAGGACTGAAAACTGGTGTCAGTGTGGAAAATAAATGAATTCACTGGTCCCTCATTTTGTAAAAAGTACAGAAAAATAAAACTCAGTTTGTTATTGGCTTTGGTTGTTATTTAAACAAAGATTTAAGAATTTCTTTTAAAAAAATATACTAGAGATTAAGACTCTAGTTTCTTGTACTGAAAATAAGTTCATAAACATTTTAAATAATACTGAATAAGTAAAAATTGAAAGCCTACCCTCTGCAAATAACATGAGAAAAAAACCACTAGTTTTCACTGTGCCCTTTCTGACCTTTCTTCATGCATACACACAAACATACATGCATACCCCACTGATGTTATTTCTTAATGACATGGAAATTCTATAGTTTGCTTTTCTCACATAATATATAGTATACATCTTCCGATTTCAGTACATATAGACCTATCTTATTTGTGGTGGTTTTAAAATATGTCCATAAATTATTTGATACCCTTCTCTTCAAGAGGTGGAGCCTACCTCCTTAAATATGGCTGGACTTAGGGACTCAATTCTGTTGAACAGATAAAAAAAAAGCAGAAGGGAAAGTAATGGTGTGCAACTTTCAAGATTAGCTCATAAAAGGCACTGCAGCTTCCTCCTTGCTCTTTTTCTTGGATCAATCACTCTCGGAGAAGCTACCTGCCATGTGGTGAGAATACTGAGGCAGCCCTGTGGAGAGGCCCATGTGGTGAGACACTGAGGCCTTCTGTGCTCAGTGAGAAATGGGGCATCCTGCCAACAGCCATATGAGTGAACCATCTTAGAAGTGGATCCTCCAGCCCCAGTGAAGCCTTCTGATGGCTGCAGTCCTGCTGACAGCTTGACTGCAACCTCATGGGAGACCCTGAGCCACAACCATACAGCTATGCTGCTCATCAGATTCTTGATCCTTAGAAACTGAGAGAGATAATAAATGTTTGTTATTTTAAGCTAAGTGTAATTTATTATGCAACAATAGGTAACTAATATACTATTATTTATGAAAGTTGCATAGCATTTCACTTTATGATGCTCCAAGATTTAACTCGTCCCATACTGATAGACTTGAAGATTATTTCCAATTTTCTGGCTCTATCACAATAGAGCAGTAAACAATTCTCTTAAATATATAACTGAACACTCACTTATAATAATATTTCTAGAAAAATAAATTTCCAGAAGTAAAATTGCCAGGCATGTGCATTTCAGTTTACTAAAAAACACTATAAAACGTCCCTTGAAAATATTTTTAAAACATGTTGCAAACATTTTCCCCCACTACAAAAATTAAAAGCAGGACACCTACATTCAAAATTAGTAGTAGGTAAAATTAAGTCTATAGAAGAAAAAAGAAGAGAATTATATAAAGAATAAATTAAGATGACAAGTAAGCCAATTAATAGAGAAAAGGATACTAAAACAGTTTTAAAATATAGAGGCGTACTGCTCAGAAGAGACACACTCCAAACTACTGAATTCTGAAAGATTAAAAATGAAAAGACAAGCTAAGCAATAACAGAAAAATGTAGACAAAAATAAAGTAGATTTTGCGATAATAATATTAGACAAGGTAAAATCAAAGGCAGAAGTATTACACTAGACTGGCACAGTAATTTTATGAGAAATGAAATAACAGCCTCTTGTGTACCACCAACCAGAACTGATTAAGCTTTTCTCATAGTTGCTTCAAGATTTTGTATCATTAACAACTGAGTTTGGAAAATTTCAAACATTCACAAGAGTAAACAGGACAGTATAATGAGGTCCCATATAACCACTCAATAATTATTAACATTTTGACAATCTTGTTTCAATCCTCTACCTCCCCCATTATTATTGTTGTTATTATTATTGGCTGGAGTATTTTAAAGCATATCTCAAGCATAAGGTCATTTTACATATAATTATTTCAGAAATATTTCAATATATTTTTTTCATTAACTGATACTTGAAAAAAAACCTAGTTGCCTAACAAAAATAATACTTATTTAATATCATCTAGCACTTCAAATTTAATTCTGATTGTTGTAAAAATATTTTTTACAATCGAATTGTCTGAATCAGGATCTAAAAAAGGTCCATAACTTTTATTTGGTTACTGTACGTTTCTTAAGTCTCTCTTGATCTGTAACAGTCTCCTCCTATCTTTTTTTTTTTTTTTTATCATGCCATTGATTTGTTAAAGAAACTCAGACGTTTATCCTGTAGAACATTGGTTCTTAAACTTCAGTGAGCATCAAAATCACCTGGAATACTTGTTAAAACACAGTTTCCTGGGTGCCATCCCCAGAGATTCTGATTCATTAGGTCCACAGTAGGACTCAAGATTCATTTATCATAAGCTCCCATGTGATGCTGATGCTGCTGGTCCAGGGACCACAATTTGAATAGCACTTTTACAGAACATCCCATATCAATGATTTGGCTAACTGTTTCCTTGTGGTATTTAACTTGTTCTTTTTTCCTTTCTTGTTACTTGGTTCTTTTATTCCAGAGGACAGTGAAGACTAAGATTCATTTTTTCTGACAAGAATACCTGCTGTACACTTCCTGTTACAACTAAACTAAGCAGTGGATTCAGGTGCTCTCAGCCGAGTCCTCCCATTCTAATGTTTC